ATAGCCTACTTACACACCTAGATTACATATTATAGCCTGTTGCTCCTGGGCTACAAACCTGTACCACACATTACAGTACTGAATAGTGTAAGCAACTATAACAAAATGGTATTTGTGTAGCTAAACAGATATCTAAACATAGAAAAGATATAGTAAAAATATGATTTTAATTTATAGGACCACCACTGTACCTGTGGTGTGTTGTTGACTGAAATGTCATGCAGCACATGACTTTATTTAGAGGTTCTAGCAAGGGAACTTTGCTACAAAGAAAAGTTCTTAACTTTTTTTTTTTTTTTTTTTGAGACGGAGTTTCGCTCGTTACCCAGGCTGGAGTGCAATGGCGCTATCTCGGCTCACCGCAACCTCCGCCTCCTGGGTTCAGGCAATTCTCCTGCCTCAGCCTCCTGAGTAGCTGGGATTACAGGCACGCACCACCATGCCCAGCTAATTTTTTGTATTTTTTTTAGTAGAGACGAGGTTTCACCATGTTGACCAGGATGGTCTCGATCTCTTGACCTCGTGATCCACCTGCCTCGACCTCCCAAAGTGCTGGGATTACAGGCTTGAGCCACCGCGCCCGGCCAAGTTCTTAACTTTTTAAGGTTATGTGAAGTTAATTAGCAGCATCAGGAAGTGTAAACATAGAAAGGTGAGGGAGGAAGCGTTTGCCATGTGTTCATATCAGTTTAGGTAACTTAATATCGAAAGATTATAATATAGATAATAAAGGATAATAATAAAAGTAAACATTCTACTCAATTTTCTCTTCCATATTCCTTTTCTCTGCCACTTTCTTAAGTCATTGATGTTGTCAAGGTCCCTCAGGTGCAGCATACTTTTTCCTACTTTCTCCTTAGTTACCACTTAGACTAAGATCTCTAAGAACAGAGGCCCTGTTTGTCTTGCACATTTTTATCTTAACATCTAGAAAGGCCTGGCACATAGTATGCAGGCAAGAACTATCTGTTGAAAGAATTTAGTCTATATTGGCAGTTGCTTCAAGTACTGGCTATTGGGGAGGGAGTATTGGAAGGAGAATTATTTTTTAAATTTTGCTTCTGCCACTTAGTATCTGTGGTATTCTGGAAGTTAATTTCTAAGATTTGTTTGTTTTCTTGTATTGGATGGGCATGATACTTTTTGGAGTTATTGTTATGAGCATTAAATTTTAAAAATGTAATTTTTCTAGCACATAGGAGGCATTAAAAAAAAATAAGAGATCGAGACCATCCTGGCCAACATGGTGAAACCCCGTCTCTACTAAAAATACAAAAAAAATTAGCCAGGCATGGTGGCACACGCCTGTGGTCCTAGCTACTCAGGAGGCTGAGGTGGAAGAATCGCTTGAACCCAGGAGGCAGAGATTGCAGTGAGCCGAGATTGCGCCACTGCATTCCAGCCTGGTGACAGAGCAAGACTCTGTCTCAAAAGAAAAAAACAAAAACAAAAACCTTGCTCCTTCTCCCAACACCCTATGCCTCTCTACAACATACCTTTTAGTTGGGAGAGCATAGGAAATACCTAGGAAATGTGTTATTCAAGTTTTTTCCTTCTGTTTTTGGTCTGCTCCTTTATAATCAAAGCAAAGAGGACTTCATGTTGGTGATCAAAGTTGAGAACTGACTAGTTCCCAAAGAACTGATGGGTTCACTGTAAATAGTGTTCAGCATCTAGAACTTCTGTGCCTGACACACAGTTCAATACATATTTTTTGAAAGAGTAAATTAACAAAGTACTGAATAAGGATGATGCTACAGACAGATTATTATGGGATGCACATGCTTTATTTATTTTTAGAGATAGTGTCTCAATCTGTCACCTAGTCTGGAATGCAGTGGTAGGATCATAACTCACTGCAGCCTTAAACTCCTGGGCTCAAGGGATCCTCCTGGTCAGCCTCCCAAGTAGCTATGACCATAGGCTCATGCCTCCATGCCCAGCAGACATGCTATAGGTGTGAAAAAGTGGGCAGATTTTATCGAATGGGAGGTTTGGAGTGATGGGGTGTCCAAACTAGTGATTTCAAAGTGTACTCATTCAACCATCATCTACTGTGTATTTACTATGCATCAACCATAATACTAGCATGGATGTATCTCTGCACCCCCATGTTAGTGCAATAAGTCAATCACAATAATAATTAGATAACAAAAGGATATATATGAATAACAAAAGGAAATCAGTAACTGTTTATTGGGATGTGAAACAACATGACATCCAAGTATGTCTACTGGGATGTGAAACAGCATGACATCCAAGTATGTCAAGTAGTATGATTTTGGCTGGAGTGCATTTAAAGGAATCAAAAGAGATGAGGCTCAACAACTAGTAGGTAGGTAGGGGAATTTAGAGAAATGGGAAGAGATAAGTTTCAACAGGTGGCCAAGTGAGTTGGTATCTGTGGAACTTCAGGTAGAGATATTTCTGGAATACACGGAGGAATCGGACACACAGAAAACTTATGCATATAAGATAAAGTAGGTCAGTAATGCCTATGCTTAGTTCTAATTCCCCATCTTCTTCTAAATTGCTCCATATATTTCATTTTACAACTATGCATAAACCTCTAAGATGGACACTGATTATTTACATACTTAGAAACTTCTAACATGGGGCCAGATCATGAAGAACCATGTATGCCAGGTTGAGAGTCCTTAATTTCATCCTTTAGGGTAGCGATGGGGGAGCTATTGGAAGATTTTAATGCAAAGAAAAGACAATCAATATTAGGTTCAGAGAGATCTGAATTGGAGGGTCAGGGTATAAGAGACAATCAGCTACGAAGTTGCCAAAATAGTCTAGGTACAACAACGGAGATTATAAAGGCTGGAACTGAGGCAACAGAAGTGGGGTTAGAGATAGGATGTGTTTGAGAGAAGTGGATTAGGCTTGATGAGGGAAGTAAGACAGAAGAACTCTGAATCACGGCTTTTTGAGGGGAGCTTCTGGGTATGTGGTGAGGACATTAACTGGCACAGGGAACAGTATGGATCAAAGATGTAGAATGCTGGGCAAGGGCAAGAGTTCAGTTTTGGCTATGGTAAGCTGGCATCTGTGGAACTTCAGGTGAGATATTTCCTGAATAGACCAAGGAAACTGACACAGAGAAAATGTAAGCACATAAGACAAAACAGGTCAGTAATGTCTGTCTTTAGAACAATTCCCCATCTTCCTCTAAATTTCTCCATATATTTCAATTCACAACTACACATAAACCTCTTCAATGATTACCAATTATTTAGTTAGAAACTTCTGTGTATACTTGAAAAAAAAAAAACACTGATATTTCTAACAGAAGCTAGTTTAATAGTGTAAACATGTCAACAATTATTGCCATAAAAGTAGTTTGAAAGAACCTTTTTGATAAAAGTAATAGTGTAATACTTTCCTGCTATGTGCTTAGGAATGACTGACATTTTCCCTAAGGATAAAATATTTAGCTTTTGATAGCTAGACCATGTTAGTGTTGACCTCAGATTGGGGTTTACCAGTGCAGAGGCTCAGGCTAACCAGTAACTTATACAGTGGAACCTATAGACCAGTAGCAATGATGGCTGATAACAGGTCTTGAGAATTGGGTAATTTCACTGCCCAATGGACATGGGGCAGCAAACTGGGCACCAAACCACAGACGGATTGCAGTACACTGAAGGACGTCATTATAATTTTGTGAAATTGGAGGCTAGCTTGACAAAGATGAAGCTTGCTGGGCTTAAGAACTCTGTGTTCTTGGCAAGAGCATGTTGCTGCAGAATTTCACCAGCCATAGTGGGGAAAAAAGGGGGGTGAGGGGGTGTGGGGAAAATGGATTGGGAGACCACAAAATTCCTGATATGATACATAAAATGTTAAATATCTATCAGCTTTGCATCTTTTGAGAGTCACCAGATTGAAGCACAGTATTTTGGATTTGGCTGGCAGATGGTGTACACAGACTTTCTGAGGATGTTAGCATTTCATTTGAAACTAGCAAGATTACTTGTGACTATCATGGTAACTTAACATTCATAGAGATTTTTCAACTTATCCCTAGCCCTGGGTTAAATGTAGAGGCCCTATTAACATATAAAAGCCTTTGTTAATATATGTTCTGGGTCTCATTAGATTCTCAGGATGTTATACTTCTTCTAAAATGTACACAGGGCAGTGTCAAGGTCTTTCCATGGAAATCTGGTTCACTCAATGAGAAAAGAGGCCAAAGGGAAGAAAGACTAAACCCGGGGAGATGGCAGGCAGTGATGTCTGGACTGTTTGAATGGGACTTCTCTATTTACCGCCCCTCTCACTTCCTTCTATGGTCTGGACCTTTAATCACCACAGCAGTCAGCCATGTAGGGTCAAGCTAATCGCTGTTGACATCATCCTACTACTTCCCTTTTCAAATTCCAGTGAAGCTATGTGTTTCCTGTCCTATTCCACACCCCAGAGAATGAATACGGGCCAGCTAGTATCTAAATTTAGACTGGCAGCAACGAGTCGGGTTTTCGGAGTAGAGATAAACAAAACCAGGTGACATTTCCAAGCCTCTCAAGGAAAGGGGGAAAAAACCTTTCCGGGGTAAGTAAATAAGGAGAGCTTCAACAGTTCCACAGTAGAGAGAGGCCTGCTGGTAAGTTCTTCAGAAAATAGGCCGATTGGAACCCTCTCCTTTAAGCCAGGGAGGGCGGCTTTGGAAGGTGTCTTGAAATACATTCTTGACTCTGCTGGGAAAGCTCAAGGAGCCAGAGCCCTAACACCCCCGACCTCTGTGAAGACAGCTGCACCTTCTTTGTCAAGCTGTTAGTTTCAACCACAGACACTAGGACACCCTTGGGGGTGGGGGAACCGAGGAGAGAAGCCTGCCGCCCCGCCCCCTGCACGCCGCCCTCGCCGTTCTTCCCCCGCCCCGCCCCCCGTTTGTGACCCCCGCGGGCCGAGCCTCAGGCGACCTGTTGGCAGGGAGAGTCACGTGACGCGCCGGCTGCGCACTCCCCCCGGGCTGGCCTCCTGTTGCGCCGGCCTGGCGGGTTCCATCACGTAACGCGGGGGCGCCGCCCCGCTCTTCCCTCGCTCAGCGAGGGAGGGCGGGCGTCGAAGAGGAAAAGGAAAGGGAAAGGGGCGGGAGAAGGGAGGAGGGGGCGGGGTCCGAGTCACGTGACCCGGGGGCAGCCCGGAAAGCTCCGAGGAGGAGCCTGGCGCCGCCATTTTCCTGCAGCTGCCTGTCCCTCTTACCCTGCCGGGCTCCAGCTGACCAGGGAAGGGGTGGGCTGAACTGAGGCGGGGGCAAGGGAGTGCCCGACATCTTGTCCGACTCCGCGGGTGACACAAGCCGGTTCTCTCTGGGCTGGGTGGCAGCGCGCGGCCCTGAGCCCCGCCCCAGGCCGGCAGGCAGGGAAGGAGCCGGTGGGGGTAGGGGGTGCGGTGGGGGGGGGTAGGGACCCTCCGGCTCTTGGGGGTCCCAGTCCCCGCCAGCTGCTGAGCGGGAGGGGTGGTGGAGGAGCTGCAGAGATGTCCGGCCAGAGCCTGACGGACCGAATCACTGCCGCCCAGCACAGTGTCACCGGCTCCGCCGTGTCCAAGACAGTATGCAAGGCCACGACCCACGAGATCATGGGGCCCAAGAAAAAGCACCTGGACTGTGAGTGAAGCCAGCGGCGGCCCCCTCCCCGTCGCCCGCGCGACCCGCGTCCTTCTGTCCCTCTCTTCTTTCCCCCTTTTGCTGCCTCTTCCCCCTTCCTGCGTCTTCTCTGGCTCGGCGGATCCTGTGCCGGTGGAGCTGTGTTCTTTTGCTTCCATCACACCTGCCTTCTCGGCCTCCGTTCCCCGTCTCAAAATCTGACAAGCCACTCCCCTCCCTATTCCCTGGGGACCCTCGCCTCCCTACCCGGTGAGCTACCACACCCCATCTTACCCAACCAACTTGCCTCCCTACCGGGCTTCTCACCTCCTATCCGTCTTCACTGCAGCCTTCTGCTCTCCCGTCCCACCCGTCCGGTGCCGCCTCGTCGCCCTCGCCTGAGCGTCTTCCCGCTTGCTCCCGGTCTCCCAGCCCCATTGTTTCTTCATCAGCCTTCTTCGGGTTTCCGTAAACGCCTGGTGCCTTTCACCCAGATTCCTGTTATCCCTCCGGGCTGCCTCCCTTGAAGTGATCCATTTCCTTTGCTCTGCTAGCTGCTTCCCCCATCCCTTCCCAGCTTTCTCTTCCACCTTCCCTCCCGCGCTTGGGTTACCTTTCATCTCCTCTCTAGTAGCTTCAGTGTAGTTGCTTCGACTCATTTTATTTTAAATACTATACCCAGTTGCCCAACTTTTCTCTCAAATTACCTTCTTTGTGGGAATGAAAGTAAAAGGATTCAGTTTGGTGTAGGGAAATCTTTCCGGAAAGTTGGGATTTTTATTTGCTTCTGGTGGAATTTAATCATTGTGCCCATACTTTTGACTAGGGGTTAGTTTGTGACTGTCAGCTCTGCTCCCCAAGCTTTTCAATTGGGGATATGGAAAAAGCCTTTTTGCTGATATTCCTATCAGTTCCTGGAACTGTTAACTCTGGCGGCTTGAATTCAGAAGCTCGAGTTTCAGTGAAGCATAGACTGTTGGAATTCAAAATGGATTAATAAACTTATTTACAAATAACACACGTCTTTTAAAAAACATCGGTAAAATGATGTTTGATGATGCTTGAGTTTGGATACGTTTTAATTATGCCAGTTACCTTTTGAGGAACTAGCTTCTCTTACACGTCACGGTATTCGTCCATTCACTAACTTAGATACAATTAGTAGAGCTCACTCCTCGCAACTTTTTTCTAACCTGGAAGTCACCTGTAATATCCTCCTTTTTTCTTTGCCCTCTTTCACCCCGGGATACAAAGGTCATTAGATCACTCAAGCCAATGGAGCTTAGACCTGAAACATTTCAGGGAAAAATTGGGAAATAGTCACAATAAGTAAGTTCCCCTTTTAAGTGACTGCTGGACACATTAGTCTGACTGACTTTCATCATACATGAAAGTTACTTTGCTTTACTGTTTGAAGCAAGAGTGAACATGCCCTGAAAGGTAATTCACTGTTTGGAGGCCTGTTTTGATTTCTCATTTGGACTTTGGCCGTAAAGTTTGCACTTTTAAAAAAATGTACGAAATGTAAATTCTTCCAAGTTACTTTGCTGATGAATGCTGTTAGAACAAGTTTTTGCTACAGACAAGCCCATTATTCATTGTGATTGTTCCTCCACTGTGGAAAAAAGTTTTAAATAAAAAGCATTAGTGTTCATTCTTTCAGATATTCATGCAGGCTTCTTTTAAACTATCAGTCCTTGCTTGTCTTAGGGAATGGAGAATATATTTAAATGGTTATACTCTTATAAACAGAAAACTTTTTAAAATGCATCGTAAAGCCAAATGTGATTTTTTGATTATCTGATATGTGTGGTAGACCTTTCTACTGTTTATGGCTCTTCAAATGACTACTTGGTTTGCCCTACCAGATCTTCAAGTTTGCCCTGACATTGTGTTAATTCTTTTGTTAGTAGTTTTTTGTTCTTTGGGATTTTTTGGTTTGGGAGCATGAAGCAACTACTTGTGACTGTGTGAACTATTTTCCTCTTTCCTCTTTCAAAATAGGAATCGATAAAGCTTTTAAAAGTTTTTATAAAGTTGTGTCTTATTTCAAATGTAGCAGTGATTCTTTTAATGGATTGCCAAAAAGAGGAGAGAATAGGTAGGGTTAGAAGAGTGGTATTTCCATGTGGTTTCATAAATGTTATTAGCAATTTATCTTGTTATAGGCACTACTGCACATACTAACTGGGATTAGGTTTGGAAGATAATCTTGCATTTCTCGTTCTTTTTCACTACCACTTCTGTTTTTATAAGCTCCCACCTTTCTGGAACTTGAATATACCTGGCAGTATTTGATTTAAAAAGATATGTGTAGTTAATGTGCCTCTATTTCTTTTCAATGAGGTTTTAAAATACAGGATACTATTTTCCCTACATTGTTCTTTAAAATGTCCTGTAATCAGTTCTCACTAATAAAATACATTTATATTAGATGCAATCTGACCAGTAAGTGGTTTACTAAATAAATACCTTCCTTGCACACATGAACATGCTTTGAGAAAATTAAAAAGGCTTCTACAGGCAGTTCATGGTGTTGACATCATGAACTTTAGTACAGAGAGCTGTGATTTCAAGTAATTTTTCATCTTATAGGAATTTTTCTTTATAGTGAAAGCTTAGTTTATGTGTACTTTTTAATGCCTGTAGCAACTGATGCTTATTTATGTGAATCTAATGAAAATGATTTCATTTTAAAATGGCAGCATTTAACAAAAAATATATATGCTTAGGACTGTTGTTTTTCCTATAAGCCATTAGAGTATGGAGGTGGTTTCTGTGCACTTTCTCGCCAAGATCTGTCCATATTAGGAAGTGATTATTATAATCCATGAATTATGGTTTAATTCATACTACGTTACATGCTTATTGAAGATAGATCTTTTTGCTTTGCTGATACTGTAGGTGTTAGTGGATAATAGTGTAGACTAGCATCCCTAGTGTGAAAGAGTTGTCAAACTTGAAATATGTTTGTAAAAATCAACATGATTTCCATTTAATTTAGGCCTTCAGTAGCCATAATCAAGGTAGAAAAATAGGAGCCCTTATATTTGAAGGACTTCAATTTTCCAGGCACTTATCTCATCATCTCATTTAATCCTGTCTCACAGCTGGAGGTGGGGGCAATTCATATGCATAGAAAGTAGATTCTAATTCCATTTAGACAGTATAGAATGCTTTACTATAATGATTGCAGTATAGACAAAACAGATTTTTTTTTTTTTTTTTGAGATGGAGTCTTGCTCTGTCACCAGGCTGGAGTGCAATGGTGCGATCTCGGGTCAGTGCAGCCTCCGCCTACTGGGTTCAAGGGATTCTCCTGCCTGCAACCTCCTAAGTAGCTGGGACTACTGGTGTTCGCCACCATGCCCAGCTAATTTTTGTATTTTTAGTAAGATGGGATTTCACCATGTTGGCCAGGATGGTCTTGATCTCTTGACATCGTGATCCAGCCGCCTCAGCCTCCGAAAGTGCTGGGATTACAAGTGAGCCACCGTGCCCAGCCCACAATTTTTAATTTATAGCTTTTTAATATAAAAATTATTTTTATCTGATCTTACAATCTTTAGTCTTAGTTCCCCTTTTTTTTTTGATACAGGGTTTTGCTCTGTCGTTGGTATGCAGTGGCAGGATTCACGGCTCACTGTAGCCTCATCCTCCTCAGGCTCAAGAGATCCTCCCATCTCAGCCTTCCAAGTAGCTGGACTTTAGGCATGTGCCACTATGCCTTGCCTGGCTAATTAAATAAACTTTTTTTTTTTTTTTGGTAGAGATGGTGGTCCCCCTGTGTGGCCCAGGCTGGTCTTGAACTCCTGGTATCAAGTAATCCTCCTGCCTCAGCCTCCGAAAGTGCTGGGATTACAGGTGTAAGCCAACATGCCTGGCCCTTATCCTATTTTTTTGATATGAATTCTTAATTTTCTTTATTCTTATTTAATTTACTATCTGTGGACATTTATATTTTGACACCTTTCACTGAAGTATAGTATTTATACTAACGGCTATAATGTCTCCTTTTTTTTGAAACAGAGTTTTACCCTTATTGCCCAGGCTGGAGTGCAGTGGCATGATCTTAGCTCACTGCAACCTCCGCCTCCCAGGTTCAAGCAATTCTCCCGCCTCAGCCTTCTGAGTAGCCGGGATTACAGGCATGTGCCACCATGTCCAGCTAATTTTTTTTTTTGTTTTTTTTTTGAGACGGTGTCTTGCTCTCTCACCAGGCTGGAGTGCAGTGGTGCAATCTCGGCTCACTGCAACCTCCGCCTCCTGGGTTCAAGCGATTCTTCCACCTCAGCCTGTCGAGTAGCTGGGACCATAGACACATGCCACCATGCCCGGCTAATTTTTGTATTTTTAGTAGAGATGAGGTTTTTCCTTGTTGGTCAGGCTGGCCTTGAACACCCAACCTCGGGTGATTTGCCTGCATCGGCCTACCAAAGTGCTGGGATCACAGGCTTGAGCCACTGTGCCCGGCCTTGGTTTTTTTTGTTTGTTTTGTTTTTAAATGAGATGGATCTTACTCTGTTGCCCAGGCTGGAGTGCAGTGGTGCAATCACATCTCGCTGCAACCTTGACCTCCCTGGGTCAGGCAGTCCTTCCTCACCTTCAGAGCGGCTGAGACCACAGGCAGCTGCCACCACGCACAAGTAATTTTTAATTTTTGTAGTGACAGGATCTCCATTTGTTGCTCAGGCAGGCCTCAAACTCCTGGGCTGAAGGATCCTCCCCCCAAGCTGAGCTTCCTAAAGTGCTGGGATTATAGATGTGAGTCACTGTATACTGTATGTTTGTTTTTTAATTCATATTTTCCCCAGTTAATTTACAGGGACATTTCATTTGAACCACTGCCTTATCTTTTCTAAAACAAAGTCAAGATCAAGTTCTTATTAAGCACTTATTATCAGCATGTCTCTATGGTAGATACAGCGTGGGTATTGGTATGTCGTGAACTGAATCTAGAAGTTGGAAATAATTTTTTAAAAAGTAAGATTTGAATATTTTCCATATGTAGAAGGTGGAAT